GTATTATCTTGACGGTGGTGGTTGTAGAACTTCAACAGCTCTCCGGTCATCCCTTTCTCCTCTCCAGTGGCACTGCCGATTTGGTCATCCGTCGCTAAAAGTCTTGAAGTCTTTGGTTCCGTCTTTGAGTCAGCTTTCTGTTTTGGATTATGAGTCGTGTCAATTTGGGAAACACCATCGTGTTCCCTTTAGTTCTAGGGTTGATAACCATGTGTCGAGTCCTTTTTCTTTAATATTCAGATGTTTGGGGTCCTTATAAAGTGATGTCATATAATGGATACAGATATTTTGTCATTTTTGTAGATGATTTTTCAAGGATGACGTGGCTCTATCTAATGAAAGAAAGAAGTGAATTGTTTACCATTTTTTCAAAAATTTTATGCTGAGATTCGTAACCAATTTGGTACCCACATCAAAGTTTTTCGTTCTGATAATGACCGCGAATATTTATTCTCATCATTTCAGGAATACCTGGACCAACACGACATTATACATCAGACCTCATGTACCTACACCCCACAGCAAAACGGGGTGGCTGAGAGAAAGAATCGTCATCTCCTGGAAACATCAAGATCCCTCATGCATCACATGCATGTTCCCAAACCCTTTTGGAGTGATGCATTGCTTACCTCTTGCTTTCTGATTAATCGGATGCCCACATTCATCCTTGATGGTCATTCTCCGTTTCAGGTCTTGTTTCCCTCTTTGTCTCCATTTCCTCTTACGTCGAGGGTATTTGGGTGTGTCTGCTTCATCCATAATCTAGGTCCCGGGAATGACAAGTTTGATGCTCGCTCTCTCAAGTGCATCTTCCTTGGATATTCTCGAACCCAGAAAGGGTATAGGTGTTACTATCCTGGTTCTCGACGGTCCTTTGTGTGTGCTGATGTCACCTTCTTTGAGTCTAATCCGTTCTTTTTGGGGTCCGGTGGTGCTTCTTCTTCCTCATCACCTCCTCCTCTTCCACTTCCCGTTGCCGACCCTCTTCCCCTTGTTCCAGCTGTGACCAAACCGTTGCCTCCGGTGCCACCACCTGTTGAACGCCCACCTATCCGTCATGTGTATACACATCGCCCACGCGTACCAGCTACTACTCCTCTGGCTACATCTCCGTCGACAGATCCGGCACCAGACCCACACTCAGCATCTGAGCTTGGTCTCCCCATTGCTTTGCGGAAAGGTAAACGCACTTGCACCCTTCATCCTATTTCTAATTATATTTCACTTACCTTTCCGCTTCCCATTGCCAGTTTGCCACCTTATTATCATCAGTTGTTGTCCCTAAGGATGTCCAGGAAGCCCTTGCCTCTCCAGGGTGGTGCCGAGCCATGGAAGAAGAACTCTCTGCTCTTCATCATAATCATACTTGGGACTTCACTGCTCTTCCTCCTAGGAAGCAAGTTGTTGGTTGTAAATGGGTTTATACGGTTAAGTATCTGCCTGATGGTAGTGTTGAACACCTGAAAGTGTGATTGGTTGCAAAAGGGTACTCCCAAACCTATGGTATTGATTACACAGAGACCTTCTCACCGGTTGCTAAGATAGGGTCAACTCGTGTTGTGATCTCTCTTGCATCCATGTATGAGTGGCCGCTATATTAGCTTGATATCAAGAATGCCTTTTTGCACAGGGGGAGGATGGTAAGGTGTGCAGACCAAGGAAGGCTATGGCTTAAACAGTCTCCTCGAGCATGGTTTGGTAGGTTCASTGAGGTRGTAAAGAAGTTTGGTATGAAACAGTGCAAAGTTGATCATTTTGTATTTAGTCATGACTCTCCGGGAGGAAAAATACTATTGGTGGTGTATGTAGATGATATTGTTATTACTAGGAATGATAACATTGGTATTGGCAGGCTGAAGACTTATCTGCAGGATCATTTTCAAACAAAGGATCTTGGTAAGCTGAAATATTTCTTGGGGATAGAGGTAGCAAGATCCAAGTATGGTATTAACCTGTGCCAGAGGAAATATGTGCTTGATTTGCTGGAAGAAACTGACTTGTTGGGTGCTAAACCAACTAAAACACCCATGGACACAAATACCAGGCTGAGTAGTGATATGGGTGAAGTGTTTGAAGACCCTGACAGATACTGACGACTTGTGGGTAAACTGAACTACCTAACCATTACTAGACTAGACATCTCATTTGTGGTTAGTGTGGTAAGCCAATTCATGCAAAAACCTCTGATTCCTCATTTGAATGCAGTTCTGAGAATTGTGAGATATTCTAATGCTGACTGGGTCGGTTTTTATGTCTGATCGATGGTCTACTACAGGCTATTGCACGTTTCTGGGAGGTAACCTGGTGACATGGAAAAGTAAGAAGCAGACGGTTGAGGCAAAAAGTAGTGCAGAAGCAGAATATAGGGCTATGGCACACACCGCTTGTGAATTAGTGTGGCTAAGGAACATTCTACAGGAAGTAGGGTACAACATCAACACTCCAATGAAGCTCTATTGTGATAATCAGGCAGTAGTTCATATTTCCTCTAATCCGGTGTTTCATGAAAGAACCAAGCACATTGAAGTTGACTGCCATTTTGTGAGGGAGAGGGTGCTGAATGGAGAGCTAGACACTACACATGTTAATACAGGAAATCAGTGGGTTGACTTATTTACAAAAGGCTTGAGTCGGGGAAGAGTGGACTACATATGTAACAAGTTGGGAGTATATGATTTGTAATGTTGTGTTGTAACAGCTTGAGGGGGAGTGTTAGCGTACGGGTATTTCTGTCTTTATACCTAGATTAATGTTGTTGATCTATAATGTTGTGTTGGAACCAGTGCTCCTCACTTAAATAAGGACACATATGTCTTTTCAATTATTTTTAATAATATAAGTACTGTCTGGCCGACTGGGAGAAGTTATGTTGAGACTTCCAGCTCGAACCAGATTTTCTCCCTTCTCTCTTTCTCTCTTTCTTCCACCTTTCTACTTCTTTCTACATAACTGATCTCAGATAGATAGAATTTCAAGGCAGGCCGAATCATAACACTCATGAATCTCCTAGAAAAAGATTAATAGAGGCTTCCAGTGTCATGTATAGGTTAGTTTTCTTTCTTTCTTTCTTTTTTTTTTTTTTTTGGGATGTATTGTATGTTTTTCTTTTTGTTTTGGGGTTGGGTTGAGATAGTGAAGCTATGCGCTTTTTGTTTTGGTTTTGGGGCAAGGTGGGCTATATGTCTCCCCCTGTATTAAGATACTTCCCTTTTGAAAACGGTTAATAAAATTTAAAATGGTTGTCTCTCCACTTGGAATAAACTTAAAGGTCCAAAAAAGGTCACTACTAGAAGGGGTCCATGCTATGCATGGGATGATGTTAAAAGGAGTTCAGATTTCCTCATATAATCCTCCTTACACCCATCGCACAACACATTCAGCCACACATTCGGAATATCTCCCATGCGGAGGTGGGTGCGAGGAAGAAATCCGGATTTGGCCCATATTTCATAATGACATTTATTTTGGGGCTGATGGATGTATGTCTAAATCCAATCCAATGAGAATTCAATAGATCCAAATTCGATTTGACACTTGATCGATATGTAAAACATAGATTCAAATTTGATTCATTTAGGATACCCAATTCAATTGGAATATCAATAAATTTGTATAAATTTTGAAGAAATTTACAAAGTTATATACATACAAAAAAAAACTTGGGTTTATCTAAATCCTAAAACCCATTTAATTCTAAAGAATTTAATTATAAAAATGGTCTTATATTTATAATCAGATAATCAAATTGGATTGGATTCTGACAAATCAGAGCAAGCAATATCTGAATCAATCTTATTAATAAATGGATTATATTTTTAGATCTGAATCGGGTTTGAATAAGAATTAGATTAAAGAGATTAAATCCAATCCATTTGCAGCGTTAATTTTTCTTTGTGCATGACAATGGAATGCAATTGATGCATTTACACATAAGAATCTTCCACATTTTTTTTTCAAAAAAATAAAAGAAATAAAAAAATTATTATTGCAATATTTAGAATTATAATACCACCTAATTACATTTAATCACCAACAAAAACATCTAGTTAAGTTCAACAGCCATGGGCCTGTTCATTATTCATACACATTTTCTGTTTCACTTGCACAAGGTTTTCCTTGTTCTAGAACTACAATTTAGAAATTTGAGCATATAATGAATGAAATTTCCCTATTACATGCATAAGGCAGACTTCTATAGGCTTTTTTTTTTTTTTTAAGTTGAAACAGATAGAAAGAGAGCAATAAAGGGTTGACTAAGGATCAAAGTATATGTATTGAGTATCATATTGAATAGCTTGGATACAGATGCATTTCGGAAATGCATGGATATGGACGATATAGAAATGCTTGGATATACTAGGGAAATGCATACAAATCACATAAATACACTAATGGTACTAAATCTAAAGTTAAATTATCTATGAATAAAGCATAAACATGAGAGATGCACATTTAATAAGTTATATAAAGAGTAACATTACAATCAACAATACTGGGGACTCTAGAGCTGTCAATGCGTCAAGTCTGGTTTAGGACAGGGTGGACCAGTGCTGAACTGATTATTAATTGGTTCTATAAAATAGACCTGGAGCCAAATCAACTATTAATTGGGATAATCAGTTCTGACCCAATTATACTTGACATCTATAATAACTACAATAATAAGAACTGAGAATTTCATTTTTGATAATATAACCTTAACAAACAATTAAAGTAAATAGTAATCTGTTTATATGTTGATAAAGAAGAGCTTTTAACCAAAATTATCTAATATACAGTCTATGGAATTTAACTTTTAAACATAAAACATAACAAATATTAAAAGAAAACTAGGAGACCTTTATATGCTATTAATTAAATAATTGGTTTGGAACAGAAAGAATAGGTCCCAACCGAAGTCTTAATCCCAAACCACAGAACCATAACTGACATAATTGGTTCAGTTCTATCTGGTAGACCCGACCCATTGACAGCTCTAAATAGCTCCATAATAGATCCGATTGAAAAGCCTTGTATAAAATTTCACTATATGCATAAATGTTTATTCTGCAACAGTATAAAGCAAGCTTCCTTTACAATTTAGGATTACTTGTCTATAAACAATGTAATACAAATCTACAACAGCCTTATACAATCTCTCTTTACAATTTGGGACAAGTATGAATATGACTTGCACAGATATTTCCTTATCACATGAATGAAGCTATAGCTCAACAATAAGACAATTACTTTTCTGCCACTGAAGTTGATAAATTAGACAGGAACTCTATAAGATGGATCCACCATTTTCAAAATGAACAAGTTTCCTTCATTACCCCTTGAAATTCTGAAAACAGAACAACATTCCATAAATACTACATAATTAGACACTTCATCTCTGCTGCCAAAATTAAAGAGGGACAATGAAAGGCTTCAGCTTAGTTAGCATCTAACTTGAGTAAACAAAATGTTTAGTCTTCTCCATATCTCTATTAGCAGTCATACATGGTGAAGGCTTGCATCGACATGTTCATCTTGAACCGCAACATCATTATGGTCACATGTTAAATAAGAAATACAACTCTAAGAAATTTCAAATAAATCACTATTTTTAAAAATTGCAACTACTATAGTAGTTTAGAACAGGGTTAGTACAGTAATGGCGACAAAACATGATGTCATGCAGAACTGTAATACAAAGCCCAACACTTAAGTCATCTATGTAACATTGTATACCACCTCCAAAATAATGGTCATCAACCCGTTATTTTTCCTTTTCTTGATTGTCTTTCTAGTAATATGTTTTTTTTTTTTAAGGGGGAAAAAGCTTTATTAGATGGACATGCAACCTGGACCTTAAAGCTATACAAGGAGCAAAAAAACTTCTCTAATTGCTAACTTATAACCAGGAAAAAGAATGGTTAAATTCCTGCAATATGAGAGGAACTAATAATACCTAAGGGTATCTTTACCAATAAGAATGATTATGATTTCAGTGATTCCTGCGATTGGAATCATTCAAAATCAATGAAATATGTCCTCCAATCATTATCCAATTTCAAAACAGGGGGTAGAATATTCTCCCGATTCAGAAACTATCTTTTGAAGGTGAAAATTAGTATATGGTGCTGGAGGAATAGGTTTAGCAGAGAAAAATAGAAGAATGCTAACTGCAAGGTGCCAATTGGCTAGTTGGTAAGGTCTCCGGTTGGTTGTGGTGGAGACTTGGGATTGAATCCTGCCTGCACCAAGGTTGGGGGTTTGTGGGTCTGGGGAATGGGCTACCCCCTGCCATGTTGCCCCATGAAGTGAAAAAAAAAACAATTAGTATTGCTCAGCAGGCAGCTGAGTATATATGTTAATCAATAAGAATGTCTAATTACAATGATAACCCTTCTTGGTATATATTAATCAATAAGGAGCATCCTTAATTAAAGAAGAGAAAAGACTAAATTATCCTGCCTTCCAATAACACATAAAAACCTATAAAACAACATAAAAAGGGAAGAAATAAAACACCAAAATAACTCTCAACATAAGGCTTTCATATCAGAACAAATTTCACTCTCTGTAGATCCCACTGTCACTCTTTTTCATGACCTTCTGCTGATGTGTGGAACCCATTTGAGAAAATGCGGAATTGGTTCATTTGAAATGTAAAGGTGGTGTTTTTATTATTGGAAAATTTCCAAAAAAATGGTTTTTTGTGGGAACAATTTCCTTTATATTTTTGAACAATGACCAAGGTGCAGAATCATTACCTCAACACTTTTCATGAGTGTAAAAGAGGAAACTCGGGAAGTTTCCTGTTTAGTATATCCTAAAGCTTTAACTCTTTCATGATGATCAGCAACTCCTGTTAGTTATGTAGGTTTTGGCTTTTATAAACTACTATCTACGGCAAAGAAATGGTTACATACTTAAAATAACTTTTAAGTTTTGGATTAGGCTTCTGAAAATCTATATATGCCTACCGTAACTCCTCATCCAAGTATGTGATTTCCAGTTGGCCACGACCACTTCCACGTGCCTTAATAGGTACCTGCACATAAGCAAATGAAGGAATAAAAAACAGCAATATCGTCAAATATGACAGTTGTTTTTCTGAATAACTTGTTAAAAAATATAGATATTAAAGGAAGTACCTATATTGATTAGTTTTGTCAAATTTGATATTGAAAATTTTCCCTTTGTATATGCTTGGAAATTTCAATCCCCTATTTGTGAATGAACATTCTTGAATATCCCTATCAACTTATCCTCTCTTACAGAGTTGGCTTATGTCAACTTTTTAAAAAATCATGTTATGTCTGGATTGGGTGCATATTTTCAGGAAATTGGGCTTTCCATATTTTATTCTTGCACTGGTTTTCGCTTCAACTAGGGATGAGGGTTGAGGGGTCTAGACTTTAGAGGAAGTACTTTCTTATCCAACCCAATCAAACCAATTCACTCCCCTATCAAGGAATCCAAGGCTCCCAATAGAAGTTTTAATGTACCAGACAGTACCCTAAGGGAAGTTTTCTACTTTTCAACTTATCAACCCCCCCACAAAAAAAAAAAAAAAGAAAGTTCAGAAAACAGACGGAGTTTATCTGTTTAATTACCATGCTGGACATTCTGTTTCCATGTATAAGTTGATCTATCAATCCAGTATTTACTGTCATATGCATTATTTTTATATTTACTTAGGTGCAAGGTCAATCTTGTAATTTTACTTTTATGTTTAAAATACTCTTATAAATAGGGCTGTAGGGCTGCCACCACACCCTAATATTAGAATTCTCTCATCCACCTGCTCCTCTTTATGCTGCCTTCTTCTCTCTAATCTTCCTATGATAGATGGCTGTTAACAAAGGGCGTTGCATATGGAGAAAACCATTTTGAATTTTATTGGCACCAATAAGACAAAGTGATCTGTTGCAAGTTGAAGGGTCTAGAAGAGATAGAGACAGGCCAAAAGGGACATGGGTTTGAAGTAGTTAAAAAATGATTTTAAGGTCCACAGTTTAAAAATAGAAATGGCATTGAATAATGGCAGAAGAAGATTCATTAGCCAGCTCTATATAGGGGGTGTTTGGTACAGTGGCATTGCCTTTGTGTTTTGTATTGATCAATACAAATTTTGAGAGCAATATGTGTTGCCACATCATATATGAGTGTCATTTCAATTAGAAAAATGCATGTGTGAGAAACATCAAATTTGACATTGAAGGTAAAAATAACAATTTGTATTGATCAAATCAAAACATTTTCAAAATGTTTAAAAAAAATCTCTCATACAAATTTGTATTGATCAATCCAAAACGCAACAGCAATGCAGCACCACTATACCAAACACCCCCATAGTTAGGCCAAGGTTTTGTTCAGTTGAGTTAGTCATGTGTCCTCCATAAACTACTGAATGAATGGAATGTGTGGGCTTTCAAGTTCAAATTCATAAGGAACCATCAGATATAAACTCACTTCCCACGAATACTCAACCATGTATTGGCATGAATCCATAATTATTCAAATTCAATGATATCAAAATTAAGAACTAGGCCAGACATTTATTGGGGTTGTCTTATTTTTCAACTGTTGAATTAGTTTTTAATCTAACAGTTGGTTTGGTCCATCCTTAGGTTAAGGTGGGTTTTACATATATAAGGTTTTTTATATATATAGGGTTTAGAGGTGAAAGAAAGAAGTTTGGTCTTTTTTTGTTGGAGAGAAAAAAAAAAAGACAGGTTGAGAGAAAGAGGGTGCTCTTGGGGTAAGATTGGGATTTCTCTCTTGCTTTTGTTCTTTGGGTTGAGAGAGGAAAGGGAGGATGGGTGTACAAGGGTTAAGGGTTGGTTGGGTTGCAAGACACAAGGTACCTGTACTATTTCTCATTTTCTTTCATAGTGATAAACTTTTTTCGTCTCTCCCATGAACATAGGCAGTAAGGCCAAACCACATAAATCCTTTGTTTTCTTGGTGGTGCTTTTTTTTTATTTGTTTCTATTTGAGTTTTGTTATTTTTGTTGTTATTGGATTTTCTTGGTTGCTATTTTATTTCAAATGCTTTGTCCTATGGGCAGCAGTTGTGAGCCCTAACAAAATGGTATTAGAGCTCCCAAGTTGGGGTTTACAAGGTGTTTAGAAATTTCTTAAGAGATAATGGCAAGAAAATGTACAAATTCTCAATTCTAGATTGAGAGGTTTGATGGAAAAGGCAACTTTACGTTATGGCAAAGAAGGGTGAAGGACATCTTGGTTCAACAAGGCTTGGGTAGAGCATTAGAGGGAAATGATGGGAAGCTAGAAGACATAAAGAATGTTGATTGGGAGGGCATCGAGATAAGGTGTGTTAGTACGATTTGATTGCTCTAGGCTAATAATGTTATGTTTAACATTATGAAGGCAAATGGAAGAGGGTGGGAATCTTTTGGAACACCTAAACGTGTTTAGTAGTATCTTGGATCAGCTAGGGAAAGTTGATGTCAAGGTGGAGGAAGAAGACAAGGCCCTTTTGCTTCTTACCTCACTTATTGAATTGGAAGAAGTCACCATATCTCTTCTATCCAACGAGGTTAGGAGGAAGCCCAAGTATAAGAGTGGTCATGATTTTGATTTTGCATTGGTTATGGAAAGAATAGATCAGAAATGAAGGTCATTTGATAGGGGATCTGAGAGTAGAAGGTCAAGGAAAAGGGAAAAGTACAATGTTACAGATGCAAGGAGTTTGGTCACATAAAGAGAGCTTGTCCTGCACGGAAAAAGAGTGGGATGAATTTGGAAGTATAGCAATTGCATTGGATGATGGTGGAGATTTTCTTATAGTCTCCCAAGGTATGTGCAATTTTTCTCAAAACGAGTGGATTTTGGATCTCTAGGTTTCTATGCATGACTTCTCTATGAGGGAATATTTTGATATGTTCCAAGAGAGAAAGATGGGTGTTGTCTCCTCGGGTGATGGATCAATCTCCTGTGACATCTAGGGTGTTGGAACTATGAAAATCAATGGAGTGGTTCGCACTTTGGGTGGTATGGCATATGTCCCAAAAATGTGTAGGGATGTAATATCAATTAGCTAATTAGATTCTAAGGGTTGCAAGGTCTTTACTGCAAGTGGAGTCATGAAAACCACATGCACCAATATGGTCTTGATGAAGAGAGAAAATGCAAGGGATTCTATCATTTGATTGGGAGTATAATGGTTCCCAAGCCCTCGATGGGGTGTTGGGAATGGAGTGCACAAGGTAGTGTGGCCACACGGAGAGACTCTTTCACAATTGGGGCGAAGACAAGTGCTACAAGTTTCCAGGGTACATGTGATCATATGATGGTGAGAGGAATGTTCTTGCTAAAGGAAAGGCTGCTCTTAACCCATAAAGGTTGAACCAAGCTGGGAAAAAAGGTGCAACTTTTAAAATCTTGAAACATCCCAACAATGTGGAAATCAAATTTTCATGAGAGAACAAATTTCTCTCCTAGGACCGGTGTAGAATGATTACCATATTTTAATTTAGAGATTGGGTTTAGTGTTTCCTGATCTGGATGCCACAAACATGGCTCTCAAAGTGGTGATACATGCCAAGTATTCAGCCAAAATCGATCTCCAAGAATGAAGATGGCGCAGCCATGAATGAAGCTCGATGCAATCAAATTTGTGAGAATTTGATGTTGATATACTACACTCCTATGGACAGATTGAATCTCCACTCGCGTGCACCTTATGATCACTCAAAGGTTCATGTTCTTGCTGGAAAAACACAGTAAAAAAGACAAAAAAAGACTCTCCTTTCAGCCTTGATCGAACTAGGGTTTTGGGAGAACTATTCTATTCTTGATGATAATGTATGTCTCAACTCTCCTACACTCTATCTTATATACAGCTGGACTCTTAGAGTCCTAAAAGGAGTTTCCCAATCAAATTTATAAATTAGAAGTTCTCCAATTGGGAAATAATCCTAATTAAATTAGGACGAAGGAGAATAAGTGAATTCCCAAATTTGACCCAAAATATCCTACTTATTTTCCTAGTCATTCTAGGTGAGTGACTAATCAAATTAGTCCAATTTGACCTCTTGAGTAATCTGAATTTTCTCACCTCTTTGACTGGTCAAATTGACTTAAACCTCGTATGGCATGGGACCTACTAAGTTACCAAATCAAACCATAAGAGTTCGGCCCATGCATTAAAACACATGGACCTAAACCTTTCTGAAGTTTTCCCTCATCTCTTTCAGATAGCAAAAAATCAGAAGGGTTTGGTGGTTAGTCAGTTTGAAGTGAGTGGGGGTACTATTTCCTGGAATCCTTTATTTAGAAGGTCATTTCAGGACTGGGAAGTTGAGAAAGTTGTAGATCTCTTGGGGTTTTTGTACAGGCAGTCCATAGACTTGTCGTTTGAGGACTCTTGGAGTTGGAAGTTTAGTGTGGATGGTATTTTCTCTGTTAGTTCTTTTGTTGGGGTTCTGAATGGAGTAATTCAACCAAAAAATTCCAGCTGAGAAAATTTGGAATCCTTCAGTTCCCTCTAAGGTGAATGCTTTGGTTTGGGCAGTGGTTCTGAATAGATGTCTTACGAAAGATTCCCTGGTTAGGAGTAGACTTGTTCATGGGCTGGGTAGCCCGACGGGCTGGGCCAGGCCGGCCTGGCTCCCGGACGGGCTTGAGCATGTATTTTAGCCCACGGGCTTGACCTTGGGCCTAAAAGCACGAGTCCGACTATTTTATGGGCCGGGCTCGGGATTTGTTAAAAAAGCCCGGCCCAAGCCCGACCCAGCCTGGCCCGGCTTTTGTATAAGTTAAACCATAACCCTAAATATTAATCCCTCTCTTATCACTCATCTCTTTTTCTTAGCCGAACAAACTCCCTTCTCAGTCACAGTCTCACATAGCCAAACATTCTCAGGAAGACAAAACCGGCGCAACTAGTGAACTCCAGCAGTGACTGGTGAGTCCTCTCTCTCTCTCTCTCGTTCCTCTTCTCACTTCTCCTTCTCTCTCAGAATTGATCTCAACAGCTCATTTATCAGATGTGAGTCACGCAAACTCAGGCACCAGCTATGA